TCCAATTAATTTCATTTATATCAACTTGCTTTGAATTGAGAGACAAACTTATCTCCGGAATAATTAATCCTACTGATGGTTAGAAATAAACAATGATTAATAAGTTTCAAATTATTTTAAATATTTAATTTAATTTACAAGGAATCAATGAATAATTTCAAGTAGCTTTTGCAATACTGTAATACTTTGTTATGGTCATGCAAATAAAGCTTATTGTTGTTGTTGTTACATGAAACACTGGCAAAGCTTTATGACCTCTACTAAATGTTAGACTCACAATAGCAAAAGTTATATTTGGTCAGATTTTAGAATACTCTCTACACTGCATAACCTTAGCCAAGGAAAAAAAAGAAGGAAAACGGTAACTCTAGGGTTACGTTACGTTTTTGTCTTCTTTAGCCTGTCAACATTTTATTTCACAACTGTTGATTGGTCACTTACCACGCAAATGAAACAATGGGAAAGGAACGTTGTTTTCGGTTGAGCAGGGGTTTGTGGGGAGGGATGAGAAAAGAGCTCCCCTAAAAACGCCTGCGTGAGTGGTCTACTATGTTGCGAGATAAGCCTCGTTGGTGGATTCCCTCGCAAAAAGTGGATTCCCTTCATCACATATGCAGGATTCCCTCACAGAAATACGTTCCTCCATATTAATTAAGGGCCTTCCTCCATACTAATTAAGCGCCTAGGCTTGCCTCGGCTTGATCGTTAAGTAACTTAAGCCCGGTTTTCAGACCGTCTGTTAAAAGGAAATTAGAAAAAAGAGAAGCGATCACCTAGCAACGCGAGAGACGGCTTTCTATATCTTATTTAGCGCTAAAACTCGGATATATAAACAAAACACAAGCACATATTCACGAAGGGGAGCTGAAAACTCTCCATAGTCGACTCCCCGCCAGTACCGGTCAGCGGTACTGTAGATAAGGACACGCGCCCTAGACGCTCTCGTGTCTCGCTCTTGAGTTTGTTCTGTATTTCGCTGTTGTGCCTACAGTGGCATTAAAGTAGCAGTTGCTTTACCTGAACCGTGTCATCGATCGACCGACTCTCTCTCTACTGGAGTGGTGGCAGCGCTTCCGGATCTACGCCAAGAAATCGAAAAGAAAACAAAGCCAGAGCTACCCGTACAAACGTCGGTAAGTCGATACTTCGAACACCTTCGTCGCCCAAGCACGATTTATTCGTAAACTTGCAACCAAACCACAACTATGGCGAGTACCCTCCGAGCCCCAAAACAGTGGAGCCTGTCAAAGAACGAGTCCATCAACAGCTTCGAGAACTGGAGACAAAATCTGTTGTACACTTTATCCCTCGACAGCAATTTCGCTCCTTTCCTCGCAGAAGACGCTACGTGGGGGAAAAAGACTAAGTCCCAGCCCCTACGCGGCCTTACCGATGACGGGGAAACCATCCCGATCTCCAGACGCAAAACGGCCCGTCAGAAGGTCAATTTCCTCGAACTAATGCTCGGACAAATAGCCAACTATTGCCCAGTGATATCCAGGACCTCTCTCGTGAAGAACTCGACTTCGATTCACTCTGTTTGGAACATGATTCGTGCACATTTTGGCTTCCAAGTCACAGGCGCCCACTTTCTAGATTTCGCTGGCTTACATTTGGAAGCAGATGAACGCCCAGAGGATCTCTTTCAGAGACTGATGGCCTTCGTGGAGGACACTCTACTCCGTGCAAATAGCCTGTCACACCATGGTGAAGTTACCACAGAAGATGAGGAACTCACCCGCACCCTGGAGAATTTCATCGTTCTCACCTGGCTTAAACTGATCCACCCCGAGCTACCTAAGTTAGTGAAACAGCGGTATGGAACTGAGCTACGATCACGGACTCTGGCCTCCATAAAGCCAGAGATATCCCAGGCCCTTACTTCCCTTCTCGACGAAATACGCACCGCTGATGATGCCAAGATCATGCGCACCGCTGTCACTAACTACCGCAGACCTCTCAGCGTCAAAACCCCGTATAAGGCGACTACACGACCCAGCCGCCCCACTAAGTCCTGTCCCCTTTGCAAACAGGCAGGTCGCCCCGACAACCATTTCTTGAGCGAATGCAATTTCCTTCCAGACCAAGACCGCAAATACATCGCGAAGGCCAGACAGATCGCCGACATCTTTGATGCTCCCCATGAACCTGAGACCACACCCGACATGACCGACCCAGAAAGCGACACCGACGACGCTAGGCCTGGCCCAGGCCCTAAGGTCTTCCGCATACAGACCCGCCAGTCACCGTACCTAGACATGTTCTACTCCCACTACCCCGTACGAATCACCATCGATAGTGGGGCTACTGGAAACATGATCCGCCACACTGTCGTCCAACGTCTTGGCTGCCACATGACATCTAGCTCCCAGTCCGTCCACCAAGCAGACGGCTCATCCCCCCTTCAGGTCGTCGGTGAGACACGCTTCTTATTAAGCCGCGACGGCCGAGATTTCACCTTCGAAGGACTCGTCGTTGAGAACCTCGACGTGGACATACTGGCAGGCACCCCCTTTATGGAAACCAACGATATTGCAGTACGCCCAGCTAAGCGCCAAGTGATCCTCCACAACGGTTCCATCGTCAGTTACGGGTCCCCACACCCGGCTACAGTAAACCCCGCCGCACGTCGTGCAATAGTACTCCGCTCTCCCCACGTCAATGACCGTCTGGCCCGGAGAGTTTGTTGAGGTCGACCTACCACACGACGTCCCCACTGACTCCGAATACGCCTTAGAGCCTCGAACAGATGCCCCAGCGTTAGGCAGTTGTCAGCTTCCCAACTGTGGCCCACCCCACGCATAGTCTCTAGCGTGGCAGGAAAGATACGTATTCCCAATCTCTCATCCGAACCGCACTTCCTCAAGCGAAATGAGCACTTCTGCCAGGTACGCGCCACCTTCACACCAGAACCCCTCGGCGACAACTCACCCCCAACAGCCAAGCCACCTCCCAAACCATCAGTACCTATCCCAGGTACAAAACACTCGTCAACCGTACGCCTTGACCCAGACAACTTACTTCCCGGGATATAAGAGCAAAGTTCACTTCGCTGTTGGACGAGTATGACCACGTGTTCGACCCAAACATCAAGGGCTACAATGGTGCGGAAGGTCCGTTCGAAGCAAGAGTCAACATGGGACCGGTCGAACCCCCCAGCGGAAAGGCCGTCTACCACAGTATGCCCGTCACCAGCTAGTGGAGCTCCAGCAGAAATTTGACGAACTTGAAGCTTTGGGTGTCTTCAGTCGTCGCCCGAAGACATAAACGTCACGGTCGAGTACCTGAACCCATCATTTCTCGTCAAGAAACCCAGTGGTGGCTCCCGCCTAGTTACTGCATTCGCTGATGTCGGCCGCTACAGTAAGCCACAACCTTCACTCATGCCAGATGTGGACTCCACGTTACGCCATATCGCCCAGTGGAAGCACATCATCGCATCGGACTTGACCAGCGCTTTTACCAAATCCCCCCCTCTCGCGTGCCTCCATGAGGTACTGTGGGGTAGCTACCCCATTCCGGGAGTGCGCGTATACACACGGTCGGCCATGGGCATACCCGGCTCTGAAACGGCACTGGAAGAACTTATGTGTCGCGTCCTTGGTCACCTTTTTAGAAGAAGGCGTCGTCGCCAAAATCGCAGACGATCTATACTGTGGGGAAACACGCCACAAGAACTCCTACGAAACTGGAGGAAGGTTCTAGAAGCCCTCCACAAGTGTGACCTCCGCCTCTCCGCATCGAAGACGATCATCAATCCTCGGTCCACAACAATACTGGGATGGATTTGGAACGCTGGCACTTTAAGAGCAAGCCCACACCGCATCGCCACCCTCGCCTCGTGTCCTGAACCCGAAACCGTTGGCCGCATGCGATCATTCATAGGAGCATACAAGGTGCTCTCCCGCGTAATTCCCGGGTGCTCGTCACTCCTTGCACAACTTGATGACACCGTAGCTGGCCGCGAATCTAAAGAACACATACAATGGTCAGACGACCTCCGAACTTCGTTCCTCCATGCACAGAAAGCCCTCTCCACTGCTCGCACCATCTCGCTACCCAAACCAAGTGACCAGTTGTGGATTGTGACCGACGGGGCGGTCCGTAAGCCTGGAATAGGAGCCACGCTTTACGTCACCCGTGACAACAAACTACATTTGGCAGGGTTCTTTAGCACAAAGCTACGTGGCTCACAACCGACATGGTTACCGTGTGAGGTGGAGGCCCTAGCTATTGCCGTTGCCACCAAGCACTTCAGCCCGTACCTAATCCAATCCCTTCACAAGGCCTGCATCCTAACCGACAGCAAACCGTGCGTACAGGCATTTGAAAAACTCTGTCGCGGGGAGTTTTCCACTAGCCCTCGCGTCTCCACCTTTCTATCAACTGTGAGCCGGTATCAAACGTCCGTCAGACATGTATCCGGATCTGCGATCCTACCCTCTGATTTCGCCAGCCGCAACGCACCCCCTTGCGAAGACGAAGCTTGCCACATCTGTGCCTCTCTACGCCAAACTCCGAAAATGCGCGTGGAGCAGTCGTCCTGCCCCCCTCCCGACGCAGTTGGCGTATCATTTGCCGCAGATGTCATCAAACGCTCAAGACAACTTGTGCTTGTACTACGTGAGTGCGTGACATCGTTTACAGCCACAACCCTGCTGGAAGACGAGCGTCACAACACTCTGCGCGACGCTCTTATCCGTCTTTGTGTCCAACTACGTCCACTAGATGGACCAACAGCCGTCATACGTACCGACCCAGCCCCAGGATTCAAAGCACTCAGGGATGATCAACTACTGAAACACCACAGGATCACCCTTGAGATCGGCGACGCCAAAAACAGAAACAAGAACCCTATTGCAGAGCGGGCAGTACAGGAGGTCGAAAGCGAACTACTCCGCCATGATCCACTAGGCGGTCCAGTAAACCACGTGCAACTCGCCGTGGTCACAGCCAATCTAAACGCGCGCCTTCGCTCACGTGGTCTTTCCGCAAGAGAGATGTGGACCCAACGTGATCAGTTCACAAACCAGCAGATCCCCCTACAAGACCAGGACATCATCCTACGACAACATACACAACGGTTGTCTAACCACCCCCACAGTGAGAAGTCAAAGACACCTGTCTCAAAGAGCACCCCCACTGACCGCGTTGCTGTAGGTGATTTAGTCTACCTCTACGCCGATCGGAACAAGACCAGAGCCCGCGATCGCTACCTAGTCGTAGAAATAACCGGCTCGTTCTGCAACGTCAAGAAATTTGTTGGCTCCCAACTCCGCAGCACGTCTTACCGAGTGAAGATGTCTGAGTGCTATCGAGTCCCATCCGAAGTCGTGAACCACAGACCACCTGCTCCCAATAGGGACGCTGACTCATCATCTGACGAAACTCCACCAACACAGCCAGAACCACCGCCTCCGCCAAACATTCCGTGCGCGATCTCGACACCTTCTACCCAGGAATTCCCCCACCTTGATGACTTCCCTACCAGCCACGATGAGTCTCACGATACCGTGACCGTGACCCACCCTGATGAAACCAGAGACCCCTATGCTAGCGACAGCGAATCAGATGCCACCCCCCCTCCTCGCCGATCCACACGTGAGCGACGCCGACCCGCACGTTTTGAGGACTTTGATATGGATTAATTAGCCAGTGGTCCTCGTGACCCACCCTAGAAACTGTTAAAGTTTTATTGTTATTCATGTTAGCCGTTTACATGTACCTAGATTTTTCTATAACCATTGGGCTCATACCATATTTGTAAGAGTAAAGAAAGGAAAAAGAGGCCACGCCAGTACCGGTCAGCGGTACTGTAGATAAGGACACGCGCCCTAGACGCTCTCGTGTCTCGCTCTTGAGTTTGTTCTGTATTTCGCTGTTGTGCCTACAGTGGCATTAAAGTAGCAGTTGCTTTACCTGAACCGTGTCATCGATCGACCGACTCTCTCTCTACTGGCGCCCGGTAACTTGAACCCTCTCTAACTCGAACCTACCGCTAACTCGAAGCATTTTTCATTTCCCTTCGGATCGTTTTCTATATAATTTTACCCTCGATAACTCGAACTGTTTTTTTATTTCCCTTGAAGGTTCGAATTATCGGGAGTCGACTGTACTTACAAAACCGTTTTCTCCTTTCTATCTCGAGGAAATGAAAAACTATTACAGTCTCAGCGTTTCACGCGCCGTTAGTCAGGTAATTATGTGAGTTCACAAGCTCACCGTTGCATACAAATTAGCTCTGCAATAAAAAACCCAAGGGAGCATCTTGACGTATTATTATAAAAACACACACACACAAAAAAAACAATTAATAACTTAACAAGGATCAATTGAAACAGGCGACTAATAATTGCTCGCGATAAAACCAGACACATTTCTTAAGACACAGAAATCCATTTTATCACCCTTTAATAATTGCAAACAGTGTAAAATACTCAGTGATTAAGACGGAATCTATTAAAATAATCAAAGAAAGGGAGCTATCTTTTTTTTACACTACGTTTCCCTCCTCACTTTTTTCTTTTTATATTCCCTTCTCCACAATTTTATTATTTTCCCTCCTCCTCCTCCTCATTCTATTGTCTTCTATCCTTCACCCACTCGTTTCATTTTTCTTTCTCCACGAGATTCTATAAAAGACTGCTAACTGCCATCTTTAGTTCATTTTGAAACAATGTCTCGTGGAGAAAAAAAATTAAACGAGTGCAGGGTGAAGGATAGAAAACAATAGAATGAGGAGGAGGAGAAGGGAAAGTAACAAAATTATGGAGAAGGGAATAAAAAAAGAAAAAGGTTGAGGAGGGAAACGTAGCGTGAAAAAAGATAGCTCGCTTTCTTTGACTATTTTAATAGATTCCGTCTTAAACACTGAGTATTTTACACTGTTTGTAATTATTAGAGGGTGATAAAATGGATTTCTGTGTCTTAAGAAACGTGTCTGGTTTTATCGGTAGCAGTTATTAGTCGCGTGTTTCAATCAATCCTTGTTAAGTTATTGTTTTTTTTGTGTGTGTGTTTTTATAATAATACGTCAAGATGCTCCCTTGGGTTTTTTACTGCAGAGCAAGTTTGTATGCAACGGTGAGCTTGTAAACTCGCATAATTACCTGACTAACGGCGCGTGAAACGCTGAGACTGTAATAGTTTTTCATTTCCTCGAGATAGAAAGGAGAAACCGGTTTTGTAATAGTCAGACAAAATTGAAATAGAGAGTTTCAGCTCCACTTCATGTATATGTGCGTGTGTTTTGTTTGTATATCCGAGTTTTAGCGCTAAATAAGAAGACGTAAACTAAATTGAAATAAAGACTTTTCAACTCCACTTTCTGTTTGTGTTTTGTTTATATACCTTAAAATTCCGAAAATAAGCCCCGGGGCTTATAATTTTCAAAGGCCCTTTTTGAGGGGCTTATTTTTGGAGGGGCTTATCTATGGAGGGTGATTTGTGTTTCAAAATCGATTGGGCTAGCCTTATAGTTGGAAGGAAATATACCGTTTTTCCATTGTTTTACTTTGTATTTGATGGAAATTTCCAAGTACAAGCCCCCCCCGGGGGCTTATATTTGGAGGGGCGATTTAACGGAGGGTTTTTTTGCGTTACGAGTCTGGGGGGCTTATATTTGGAGGGGCTTATACATGGAGGGGCTTATTTTCGGAATTTTACGGTATCTTAGTTTTAGCGCTAAATAAGACATAGAAAGCCGTTTCTCGCGTTTCTAGGTGATCGCTTCTCTTATTTCTATTTTCTTTTTAATAGACGGTCTGAAAACGGGGCTCAAGTTACTTAACGGGCAAGCCGAGGCAAGCCTAGGCACTTAATTAATATGGAGGAACGCATTTTTTTGCGAGGGAATCCTGCATATGTGATGAAGGGAATCCACTTTTTGCGAGGGGATCCACCAACGAGGCTTATCTCGCAACATAGTAGACTACTTGCGTGGAAGTCTAGGTTCCTTATTGTTCTCCTATACTTTGACGATTAATGCAACCGTTTAAGCATCAAATCATTGTTCCCGTTATTAATAAACTGTGTTCCTATTGAATTCCATGGCTGGTTTCTACTTAGCTGTCGACATCCCTTTTTCCGCTTCATCATCTGAAAAATTTTATGCCGACTCCTGTTAGTTTATCCGAGCTTAAAGTTTAACAACAACGTGGCAAACGTTCACTAAAACATATTTGCCATGACAATAATATTTCATTAAAAAGGGTAATTTCCTTAAACCATAAGAAAACAAAACAACGTAATGCCTCAACGACTAGCCTTCTGCAACGATACACAAAGACCCAACGAATCTTCCACATATTTTGAAGAGCGGCTCCAAAGCACCACCAAAAAGTCTAAATATTCGGTGATAAAAGACCCACTTTCTCTACATTGACGTCCGCAAAACAAGGACCTGAAAGAACTAGTTTTTGAACATTACAAAGACGAAGGGAAACACCATTCTCATTTGAGAAAGAATCCGTCCGAACAAATAAAGTGCTAGCAGGTTGCCCGCAACACCAATATAGTCATTGCGGACTCTGCCAACCAGAATGTAGAAGGGCAGGTAAATCAAGTGACACACAAGTCCCCAAACCCTCTCGAACACAATGCGTATGGTGTGGAGGCCAAACACGCCCTCAAGACCGCCAAGCAACCAGGCCATGCTACTATTGTGCTAACTGTTACTCAGAGACCACCTTGCGAAAGTATGCAGATCCCCAAGGAGAACTTCAGTTAAAGCCAAAGGGTTTAAGAGAAGCTAAAAAAACAAACAACAGGAGCCTCCTCCGCCACAATCAAACACTAATTGCCAGCTTCACAGGGGAAAACGACTAATTTCCATATAACTTATCCGTTGTTTTCCGTTCTTCTTTAGTCTCTGCTGTTCATGATAACTTGGAAAATGACAAATACCTAATAAGGCTTTGAGTCTGTTAATCTGGAAAGGACTGTAAAGCTTTAATGCAGGTGGACTATGCCACTTCATGTCACAACCCTCTTCGAAAAACTATCATCTGCCGCCAGACTGAGACCTTCCCTCTCCTATAAATATCCTTACTCTAAGAAACCCATACGTCCAATCGGTAGGGTCATTAAGCCCACGTAAGGGGAACTCCACTTCGAAACATCAAAATTACAAGTCGTAGATTCAGCGCACATTCAGGAAAACCAGCTCCCCTTAGTGGAAGTGACAGCAAGGGTGTTTTTCTCCAAAACAACGAACATAAACCTAGCTAGCCCCACGTCCACGCCGTCGGCGGTCTCAGTGACTTTACGACCAGGGGTCCATTTCTCGAAAGTTCCGATAACTTTTCAGGCCCGAAAAGCTGTTCTATGTTCGCCGTGTTTGCATTCAAGATGAGTTTAAATAATTTTGAAAATAATAAAGTGAAATTATCAGTTAACGAACCAAAATTGACCAGTTTTTTAACTACATGAAGGAACTGGACTTTCAGGTAGCCTTTCACGCAGGATTTTGTAGGGGACTCGTATTTCTTCCCTCCACAAAAACGCCTGCTTAGCCAAGACCAACATTTCTTTCCGCCGCTTTGCCAATCACATGCATATAGTACCTACCAAAATCTAGTGAGTTTACCTTGAACGCAAAAGCTTTTCACGCAAACGGAGCCAGGACAAATGATCTTGATAGAGCTTTTAGCACCCGTGTTTAACAAGTTTAAGATTTCTCGGTTAAATTCATTTCAGGTAAAAGCGATTTACGAATTTTTAAAGTAACAAGGCGACATATACGCTAGTTTGCTGACTGGCTATGGCAAATCGCTTGTTTAAACAGTTTAACATTCGGTGATTGATAGCCTCAGTCACCACTTTTTCGGGTCACGTAGCGGTAGTTGTGTCACCTTTCGCATCATAGTACCCTAGTCAGTCCGCGCGATTTGTAGGCAGACGACACGGAAAAGTAGAGGAAACAGCGTATTCCGTTGCTTTTGGCACTATACAGTCACGGTGGAACACTGAACGTCGGAGAGAGATTCTGTCCCATCGACGT